GGAACCAGGGATTGAACTCAGGCCCTTGGGAAGCGCTTATTCCACTGAACCATCTCCCCAACTCTGATGCAGTCAGAATCAGAGAGGGTGGTGGCTGCATTTTCTCAGTTGTACATCAACAGCTTAGAGGGACCCAGCTATTGGTTCCCTCAGCAGCACATAGGCCTGCTTCCTCATGCTTTCTTGCCTCAGGTTGCACAATGACTGCCACAGTGCCAACCTTTGCACGTATGTTCAGGCAAAAAGAGGGCTGGGCACTTCTTGCCCCTTTTATAAGATGCAAGGCTTTTCTATGAAGACCCACAGTCAAAACATCACAGGGCTGCCTCTGTGTAGGAAAGCCTGGGAAATAAGTAGGGTCAGTCCTGCAAATCCACAGGCTCAGTTCTGTGGATTCCATCAGCCACAGACTGAAAGTATTTGGGAGAAAAAATGTGTACTGTCCAGGTACAGACTTTTTTTTTCTTGTCACTATCTTTGCTCTTTCTCTTTGTCATTTTGTATTGCACTATCTTCTGATCTTTGGTATAGAGCTTAGATAGAGTTACCTTAGCACCAGATCCAGATCTACCAAGTTCAAACTCGTCTAGGTGGGTGTGGCTTGGGTCTGGCTGCTGTGCTCCACTTCTTCCTGCTGCAGCCTTTAGAGGTGAACCCTCTGTGCCACTCTGGCAAGATGTTCTGCTCCTGGATCAGCTGGGTGGGTCTTGCCTCTAGCCTCTCTGCAGGGAGTTCTGCTGCAGGGTTCCACACCGGGCCTGTCTGATGAATGAAGTTCTACTCACACACGGGCCTGGGCTCTGGGTTGAAGGAGGATCCAATGGGCCCTGGGTGGTCTCACACACTGGGCCTGGGTCTAATGAGGACCCGGTGGGCCATGGGCAGTCCCATTCACATGCTGAGCCTGGCCTGTGGGTCAAATCATTGTCACTATCTTTGAAATATAGCATACCAAATATTTGTACAGCACTTGCACTGTTAGGTATCATAAGTAACCAAGAGAGTAGGGGAGGGTTACACAAGATTTATGCAAAAAAAAAAAAAAGTACTATAGCCCTTTGTTGTGTTGTGTCATATTTTGAGACAAGGTCTCACCATATAGCTCAGGCTGGCCTTGAACTTACTATGTAACCGAGGCTGGCCTCAAACTCCTGGCGGTCTTTTTGCCTCAGCCTCCCCAGTGCTGGGGTTACAGGCATGCTCCACACTTCCTGTTTCTATGACATTTTATATAGGGGACTTGAGCATTGGCAGACTTTGGTATTTGAGGGTACCCTGGAATCACCCCTATGGATAGAGAAGGCTGATTTGCTGAGATTTTCCAGATTCTGAACTAGCAAGTGGCAAAGAAGAAGGAGCTGTCAGAGAATGAGTGATGGCCACAAATGACTGTCCCTTCCTGGGTCCTCTCCTGCCATTCTCACCAGCCCCAGCAGTCTCCAGGCTCACAGCGACTTACCCTACCATGGACACCAGGGCTTCTCAGCCCTTCCCAAACCTTCCACATAGGGAGGCACCATGATCCAACCAGAGGGGAAGGTAGTCGGCCTCCTCCACCTCTGCTCTCGAGGACACTTGTGGGGACCGACAGGACAGACAGAGGTGTGAGATCGTCTGGTCCTGTGCCCAGTGGGGGATGAGTTTTGGTGAAGGCAGCCTTGGGAGGAAAACAAGGTAGAGAATTTGCTCTATAGAGTAGGGTGCGATGAGGGCCACAAGGGCTGGGGAGGCCAGGACGAGTATGTTTCCCAGAGGGCCACTCGGTGAGGCTCTGAAGGGTGGGGGACTGTCACAGGGACCAGGTCCTGGGATAGGTCTGCCTGCAGTGACAGCACACAAGCCATGGGAGGTGGCAGCTAACTAGGGACAACAAGTGCCTTCCCTCCTGATCCCCGCCCCCACCATGGAGCCCTGGCCAGGCACAAGGTACTGGAACCAGGGCTGCATTCTTGAACCACCCTCCTTGTGTCTCCAGGGAGGGCCTGACTTCTGCTTTGCAGATGTGACGGAGGTGCCCTGCTACCATCATCTGGTCCCACTGGAGCAGTTTAAGTGGTGTCTGGAGGGCCAGCCAAATAGCTCAGCAGATTAAAGTGCCTGTAAGCATGTCAACCCCCGGGCCTGCTATGCCGGCCCAGCCCCCGAGACACACTGAGACAGCAATTGAGATTAGGTGTGGTGGCACACGCCTGTAATCCCAGCTCTTGGGAGGCTGTAAACAGGCGGGTCACTACCAGTCTGATCTAGTACTGAGACCCTGAACACCCTGTAAACCCATCCCTATAATACAAAAAATAAAATAAAAATAAATGGTGCCGGGGCTGGAGAGATGGCTCAGTGGTCTAAAGCACCTTCTTGAAACAAGCTTGGCAAAGCACAGGGACCACGGTTCGATCCCCAGCACCACATGCCAGCCAGCCCCGCCCCCTGGTGGGCTGAGCTGGCCACAAACACACACAATAAAAATAAAAATGTAATAAATAAATAAATATTTAAAAAAAAATAAAATAAAAAAAAATAAATGGTGCCTGGGTTCCCGACTATTCCTTCTCACCCACGTACTGGAACATGCAGACCCAAGGGCCTGGAATAGATGTCACAAGCAAGGGGCTGCAGCAAGGCCCCAGACCAGCCTCATTCCACCCTTTCTCTGCCACAAATTCCAGAGAAGATGGGGCTCAAGTCCAGCCCATCTTTGGCCTCAGGGTCCCCTCATTCCCTTTGGGGGACAAGACTTCAGCCCTGGTCCCCTTATCTGCCCGCCCCCATGAACCATGAGCTCCTGTGAACAGCTGGAGTGTCCCTGGGGCTCTGCGGCCTCCCACTTGGCCCGCCACACAGTATGGGATGATATCATAAACACCAGGCCCACACAGAGGAGCCCTCGTTAGGGAGGGACTGGCTGTCCTTGCCAGAGTACCTCAGCCCCTAATTTCAAAGCTTTGGGCCTGGGTGCTGTCTCAGGACCCAGTAAAATTTGACCTGGTCCCAAGGCCGCAGGGTTGAGGTCTTTGGGCCCACACATCTTTCCAGTGGCCCACGAAGATGGCAGGCAGGTGGCAGAGGCATGACGGAGACACTCACACACCAGCAAGGCCCACCCAACTGCCTGTACCTCCAGTGTTGACTCCCACCAGACAGCGTCTGTCCCTGGCTGTGTCCTAGGCACCCATGCTAGACACCAGGTGTGGGGCTGAGCAACTGGGCTTGAGGGTGGGGAGGAGTAGCTGTCTCTGCTGGGACCTACCGCCCCTCTCCCACCCTAGATAGGTAACCCGAGCCCAGCATTGTAGCACTCCAAGCAGCTGACAATGCTGTGGTCAGACAGCTGGTGGGGCTGGGCCAGGCCTATGGGGCTGGAGGATGGGAGTGTAGCCTTTCACAGGACACCCAGCCCCTCTGCCCAGGAGCTGAACACCGGAGAGCAGAGGCACCATGCATCAGGACCAAGGGCCATTGCTCCTCCTGCCGCTGATGGCTGCCTGCCTGGGTGCGGCCCAGGAGATTTGGGATCTGGGGGATCCAGGGCAGGGGTGTGAGGCCTTGAGGGACAGGCCCCAGTCCTGGCCCCCTGCATCTCCCCCACCCCCATGCCTTCCTGCTGCACTGCTTCAAGGCCCCATGGTGAGTCTGAAGCTCCGGCCATTGTTACAGGGGCCCAGGGCCGCAACCAGGAAGAGCATCTGCTGGCCGACCTGATGCGCAGCTATGACCCTCACCTGCGGCCTGCAGAGCACGACACGGACGTGGTCAATGTCAGCCTGAAACTCACCTTGACCAACCTCATATCCCTGGTGAGTGGCAAGGAGCAGGGAGTGCCACGGGGTAGACACTAGGACCCTGTGGGGAGACAGGGCACCAAGGGAAGCACCTGGCAAAGAGGGGTGGGAGCTGAGATTGGAAAACCCCCATGGTTGTTTGGCCCAAGACCCAGGTACTTGGGAGGGCAAGGCATGGGGGCTCAGTCCTCTGTCCTGTACCCCAGAATGAGCGAGAAGAGGCCCTTACCACCAACGTCTGGATAGAAATGGTAAGAGGCCACCCTGTTCCCCCACCCCCATATGATGGGGTCCGTACCCGGAGCCCCCTTTGGACTGGACTCTCATTCCTGGGGCTCTGCAAAACCAGGAGCAGGGGTCTGGCAATGTCCCCTGCCCACCCCTGCAGCAGTGGTGCGACTACCGCCTACGCTGGGACCCCCAGGACTACGGCGGCCTGTGGGTGCTGCGGGTGCCCTCTGCCATGGTGTGGCGGCCAGACATCGTCCTGGAGAACAAGTGAGGGAGTGGCAGGGTGGGGGCCCAGGGGCATGGAACAGGGTCCCACAGGACGAGGAGGCTCTAGAGAACAGATGGGGAGTAGGGCACAGTGCAGGGAGGGACTGGGCCAGCAGGCCTGGGGACCTGGGGCCAGTGACTGTTCCCAGAAATGCTGTCAGGTGACCCTGGCAGATGGGGGTGGCAGGAAGCCTGCAGGGAGCAGCGGTGGCTCTAGGCGGGCACTAGTCAGGGTGAGGAAGGCTGGGGGTTTGGTGTCCCCGACCCCATCCACACAGGGCAGAGGGATGGGCGGCATTGTGCAGTCCAAGCCCACAGTCCTGTGTTCTGGCCTGCACACAGTGTGGATGGTGTCTTTGAGGTGGCCCTCTACTGCAATGTGCTGGTGTCCCCCGACGGCTGCATCTACTGGCTGCCACCTGCCATCTTCCGCTCATCCTGTGCTGTTTCTGTCACCTATTTCCCCTTCGACTGGCAGAACTGCTCCCTCGTCTTCCAGTGAGGTCATTTATGTGGGGAGGGGGCATCCGGGGAGCTGCTAAGAAAGATGAGGGCAAGAGTAGGATGTTCTGGTAGACTTAGAGGCCAGGCCTGAGTCCATCTCCCATGAAGTCACTGAATGGCTGGGAGGTGGGCAGCAAACTTCCAGTTTCCTCACTCAGCCTCCCAGAGAGATGGGATGGCAGGCGGGTATCAGGTGTGTTCTATGGATCGAGCTTTTCTTTGCAGGGATTAGCTTCCCTGGTGATCAACGTGATTAGCACACATGTACATCCTACACTGTAGTTGATGGCAGTGAATGGGACAAACAGCGTGGCCTGGGCTCTGACCTGCGCCTGCAGGGCCCTGCGCTCAACATCCTGTTCCCCAAAAAGCCCACATCCCCCCACCCCACCTCACCCCAGGGCTCAGTGGAAAACCCAGATGGACTCAAGGGGCTGCCATTTTGAAGCCAGATACCCACACTTGCCCTGAGGGGACAGTCAGTGACATGGTGGTGCATCTCCCTGCTTGGGTTCACCCCTGTCGCTCTGTGGGCCCAGGTCCCAGACTTACAGCACCAGAGAGATCAACCTGCAGCTTAGTCAGGAAGATGGCCAGACTATTGAGTGGATATTCATCGATCCCGAGGCCTTCACAGGTAACCTTGGCCAGGGCTCCCCGACATCACCCGCATCCCTGCTACATGTGGCTACAATGACAAGGCCCTCTCTCTCAAGGTCAAAGTGTAACTCAAGGTCAAAGACCTTGTAAAGATAATTTTCTGTGATCTTTACTCTGGCTTTGGAAATTGGGAAATCTGTATCCCATCTTGCACCCACCCGTGTCTCTCAATGGTGCCTGTGTCCACTGGCACTTGCTGGGCTGTGTGCCACTAGAGGCAGGTCCCTTAGGCTGTGGTCTGCCTTCTCCGTACCACCTCACCCCCTACAGAGAACGGGGAGTGGGCCATCCGACACCGGCCAGCCAAGATGCTGTGGGACTCAGAGGAGACAGGCCACCAAAAGGTGGTGTTCTACCTGCTCATCCAGCGCAAGCCCCTCTTCTACGTCATCAACATCATCGCCCCCTGTGTGCTCATTTCCTCCGTTGCGATCCTCATCTATTTCCTTCCTGCCAAGTGTACGTGGAGCCCTGGCCCCATCCAGCCACACAGGGGATGCTGGGAGGCCAGGGCAGGGCTTACCTGGGGGACAAGCAGCACTGTGAGCCAGAGCCCCCCTGGGCAGGGGAGGGAGGAGACGGAGGAGACCTGCTCTGAGTGCCCCTTGGTCACGAGCAGCAGGTGGTCAGAAGTGCACCGTGGCCATCAACGTGCTCCTAGCCCAGACAGTCTTCCTCTTCCTTGTGGCCAAGAAAGTGCCGGAGACTTCTCAGGCAGTGCCGCTCATCAGCAAGTAAGGCTGGCCTCCACCAGTGGACCCAAGGGGCTGGGGGTGGCATCTGGTGTGGGGTGCCTAGGGGCCACCCAGCCACTGCCCATCCTCATGACAGGTACCTGACCTTCCTCATGGTGGTGACCATCCTCATTGTTGTGAATGCTGTGGTCGTGCTCAACGTGTCCTTGAGGTCCCCACACACACACTCCATGGCCCGAGGAGTCCGCAAGGCAAGGCCCCTCCTCACCTATCCCTGATTGTACCCTCCCTGGCTATTGGGCAGCAAACCCATCCCATAAGCCTTCAAGCTGAGGAGGTGCAGGGGAGACTGCATATATAAACCTGCTTAATCTTTATAAAACCTCTGTGAAATCAGTATTAAAATCACCTCCATCTAGCAGATGAGGAAATTGAGACATGGAGCCATTAAAGAATTTGCCCATGGTTACAAAGCCAGAACGTGCAGCAGGCAGGATTCTGCCCTGTCAATCAACCTGAGCCCCTGTACTCTGCAGCCCACTTGCAGTGGGCAGCAGGAGCCCTTGTTACAAATGCAGATCTCCAGTCCACCAGGCATCCTAGGCCAGAATGGCAGCAAGGGTAGGCACATGGGCCCTGGTGATTCTCACAGGCACGAAAGTGTGGGGTCCCAGCCTCTGTGCCCAGGTCTGAACAGCCAAGCGGCACAGGACCACAGCATGCCTCTTGTGGGCCAGCTCCAGGCCCAGCTGTGAGCTCTAGTGGGCTGTTTGTTCCCTGCACAGGTGTTCCTGCGGCTCCTGCCCCAGCTGCTGCGGATGCACGTTGGCTTGCTGGCCCCAGCAGCTGTGCATGACACTCGGCCCCAGCTCCAGAATGGCTCCTCTTCAGGCTGGCCCACAGCAACTGGGGAGGAGGTGGCCCTGTGCCTGCCCCGCAGTGAACTCCTCTTCCAGCAGCGGCAGCATAATGGGCTGGTGAGGGTGGCCCTGGAGAAACTGGGTAAGGCGCGGGGGTCCCACTGGGGACACTCCTGCCCGGGGTCCACAAATGGTGAGCAAGCATCCAAGTTAGGGGAAAGGAACTGGGGGGAATCTAAGGAAAAGACACTTTTCTGTTTTTCCTGTACTGTATTTTTTCCCCTCTCTTTCATTTTATTCCCAAACATTACCCTCTGTACCCATCAGAGAAAGGCCCAGAATTCTATGGTAGCCTGAAGCAGGCCGCCCCAGTCATCCAGGCCTGCGTGGATGCCTGCAACTTCATTGCCCGAGCCCGGCTTCGGCGGAGTCACTTTGACAATGTAAGCGGTGCCTCAAAGTGAGGTGCACTGGGGTGGGGTGGGAACCTGGCTATGAGAAGTCAGCATATGTGCGTCACCCAAGACAGAACACTGGATGGAAAAAGCAGAGCTAGGAACAGGGAGGAGGGACTCGAACGGAGGCAAGAAGGGTCTAAATAAATGGAGGGTGGGAGCTCAAGGATGGAAGAGGGAGTCAGGGCAGGGCTTGTTCTGTCTGTGCTGACCCCACCTCATCCCTCACAACCTCAAGGGGAACGAGGAGTGGCTCCTGGTGGGCCGTGTGGTGGACCGAGTCTGCTTCCTGGCCATGCTGTCACTCTTCATCTGTGGCACCACCGGCATCTTCCTCATGGCTCACTACAACCGGGTGCCCACCCTGCCATTCCCTGGAGACCCTCGCCCCTACCTGCCCTCCCCAGACTGAGCCGACCAATCACTGCTGGGCACAGGGGAGTCACATTTGTGGGTCATGCTGTCTTCCCAGCTGGGTTCTTCTGCTACTGAGGTCATAAGCACACTCTTTGGGAAATGCCGGTCAAAGCTGTGGGAGCCAAAGGGCCCCCAAGAAAAGCTGGAGAAATAAATACAGCATTGGAATACCAGATTGGCTGGGCTGTGGTTGGGACTGCCATCCACCTGGCATTGGCCAGCTCCTAGTGGCATCAGCCCCTCCTCCACTGAGCGCATGCCCAACATTCCAGGAAAGCATTTGGGACTCCCATCACTCTGAAGCATCTGTTTTGTGTGATGCTCATAGCTGGGCAAGGTCCTAGCTCTCTAGGCCTGTGACCAACTTCCCTTTGATGAGTCCTCTCTGCAAGATACAATGGAGAGGGCTGGTGAGATGGCTCAGTGGTCTAAAGCACCTACTTAGAACAAGCTAAGCTAAGCAAAGCACAGGGACCATGGTTCAATCCCCTAGCACCACATGCCAGCCAGCCCTGCCCCCTGGTGGGCTGAGCTGGCCACACACAAAATAAATAAACAAATAAATTCTTTTTTAAAAAAAGAGGCAATGGAGAGGTGTGGAGTCCTCTAAGGGGGCAGTGGCCCAGGCCAGCTGGCAGGTCCCTCTTCTGCCTGCCAGCTGTTAACTGCACCCTATGCTTGCTGGCAGCAGTACCTTTCCATTTGTATGCTTTTCTTGCCATTGATCACAAAAGATATTCTTGAGCTTTCTCATCTTTTTTTCATTGCTAAGGTTCCTCACAGCATCATAGATATGTGGGGGCATGACTCCCCCAAGATTCATATGGGCAAATTAGAGCCCAGAGTACAGGGATACCCCAGGACCCTGGTGGCTACAATGAGACATGCAGTCCACAGTTTCTGACTGTAATGTCAGCCACTTTTTTTTTTTTTTTTTTTTTTTTTTTT